CAATCACCTTAATCCTACCAAGAAAAAGGTTTTTATGGAGCAAATCCAAGTTTTAACGGTTGGTTTGTGAGATCAAGGCAAGAAATGGAGGAAACAAGTTGAGAGCTTTTTTCTTTTCTTGTTGAGAGGGCCGGCCAAAGGAGCTAAAAATGAAGAAATGTTTTGATTAAAATTAGCTTTAAGAAGGTAAAAATATCTTGGTCAAAAGTCCAAGGGTAAATTGAATGGTGACACTTGTCACCTTTTGCTTAAAACTTATCTCTTTGTCTTTCTAATACTAATCCATATAGGTAACTTCTAATTATCTCTGTAGCATCTTATAAAATAATATCACTTAATACAAAACTCCAACAAGTTGTCAAAAATATATCGCATTTACCGCACTAGCGGGTCCCACGTCCTAATCACTTCAAACTCAACGTACACTAACTCATACTAGGAAGATGATTTTAAAACTGTACTTACTTGTAAAAATGCATAGAAAATTCAATATTTCCAAGAAAAGTATAAAATATAATCAAAAAAATAAAATAATACTGAGAAAATGTGAAATTTTTGGTCCTCACGCCATTCTTGTTCAAAACGGAGTTGATTTGGCACTACAGGGAGTAGAGAAAAAGCCAGAAGCTGTGAAGGATGCGGATTTCGTCGAAATGAATAAAAAGGCCAGATCCAGCATAATCTTAAATCTGTTTGATGAGGCATTGCCTGAGGTAGCAATGGAGACTACAACCTAGGCTATATGGGATAAATTAAAAACCTTGTATATGAAGAAAACAGTCGAGAATCGGCTATATTGAAGCAGAGTTTGTATATGTTTCGGATGTCTGAAGGTACATCAATACTCTCCCACCTTGATAAATTTGATTCCATTATTATGAATTTGGAGAATAACGATTCGAAAATTAATTTTGAAGATCAGACTCTATTACTTTTGTGTTCCCTTTCCCAGTCCTTTAAGCATTTTTGTGATACTATGATTTATGGAAAGGAAATGATTTCGTATCGGAAAATTAAATTTGCATTAAAATCTAAAGAGCAGATAGATAGGAATATTACTGGGGAAACTAGTGGGAGTCAAGTCGATGGCTTGTTTGTTCGGGGTAGATTTGAAAAGAGAAATACATAAAATAGAAATAGATCCAAGTCTAGGCATAAAAACGTGGTGTGCAATTATTGTAAAAGAAGGATTATGTTATCTCTGATTGCTTTAAATTGAAAAATAAAGAAAAGCAAAAGAAGAAAAAGAGTGAGATCACCGAGGCCAGTATTGCAGTTGATGAGAATAATGGAACATTTTCTGTGCAACGAAAAATAATTTTAGGTCTAACAATGAGTGGATTATACATTCGAGTTGTTCATATCATATGTGTCCTAATAGGGACTGGTTTTCAACATGACTCAACTGAAGGTGAAGTTGTCTTAATGGGTAACAACGCAGTTTGTAAAGTTATTGGCAAAGACACAATTCGGATTAAAATGTACGATGGTATTGTAAGGACACTCACAAATGTTAGGCATGTTCTAGATTTGAAGAAAAATCTCATCTCTTTGGCACTCTTGAGTCTATTGGGTGCAAGTATTTTGGTGGAGGTGAAGTTCTCAAAATCACTCGAGGTGCTCTTATTATTATGAAAGCACACAACTCTGGTACTTTATATATTTCGCAGGGATCTACTATTACAGGTGCTGCTGCTGTTTCAACATCATCTTTGTCAGATACAGACATCACTAAATTATGGCATATGCGTTTGGGGCACATGAGAGAAAAAGGCTTGGACATACTGAGTAAAAGAGAACTTCTTTGTGAAAAAAGTACCGGGCCATTGAAATTCTGTGAACACTATATTTTTGGGAAGCAGAAAAGAGTCAGCTTCAGTTCACCAGCAATTCACAAGATAAAAGGTACTCTTGATTACATTCATTCAGATCTATGGGGTTTTTCTCGTACTCCTTTTAAAGGTGGTGCAAGGTACATGTTGATTTTGATTGATGATTATTAAAGGAAAGTTTGGGTATATTTTCTTAAGTATAAAAATGATAATATTTTCTTAACTTTCAAACAATAAAAAGTTTTGATTGAGAAACAAATAGGAAAACATGTTAAGTGGTTGAGAACAGATGATGGCATGGAATTTTGTGAAGGTAAATTTGATAGATTCTGCAAAAATGAAGGAATTGTTCAGCATCGTACTGTCAGAATGACGACTCAACAAAATAGTGTGGCCGAACGTATGAACAGAATGCTTTTGAAGAGAGCAAGATGTATGATCTCCAATGCAGGGTTGACAAACAACTTTTGGGCTGAAGCGATTAATATGGCCTGTTATATTGTCAACCATTCTCCTTCTACATCTTTTGATTTCAAAACTTCTGAGAAAATTTTGTCAGGTACTCCTGATGATTACTTCAATTTAAAAGTTTTTGGGTGTCCAGCATACATGCACGTGAATGATAGAAAATTTGAGTCTAGGGCTAAAAAGTGTATTTTTCTTGGGTATGCTTTTGGGGTGAAAGGATGCAGATTATGGTTTCCTGATCCCAAATCTCCAAAATTTGTTATCAGTGATATGTTACTTTTGATAAATCTCCAAGAAGGAGTCTTCTAGTCCTTGTACTACTGATAGTATACAGAAACAAGTGGAGCTTGATATTGGCAGTTCTGGTTCTTCTCAAACCGAATCTTCTATTCATCAAGTGCCAGTAGATGCACTTGAATCTACTGTTGAAGATAGTTCAGAAGAAGAAGGGTATTCCATAGCTAGAGATAGTCCTGCTGATATGTTTACAAAACTTCTTCCAGTTTATAAGTTCAAGCAGTGCTTGGACTTGGTTGGTGTTCATTACTGGTGATTTAGGCCCATTGGGACTTATGTGGAGAAGGTGGAGCAGTTTTGCTATTGTTAATAGTGGGATTAGAAATTATGCCAAGGTGGAGATTTGTTGAACCGCAAGGTTTGACTTTGGTGGCAAAATTTTATCCCACATCAGAAGAAGCCTAAGAAAAGCCTCCCAAATTCACCTATAAATATAGAAGGCTTATGAAGATTTCAATAGCACCACTCAAGAGAGCATTATGTGGGCTATTAGTTTCTTGGGTCATTTAACTCATTTAGTCAAATATTTTAGGTTCTCTTGTTTTGAATTTCGGAATATTTCCTAAACCTTTTGTAAGTGCCATTTTGGCCTAGGAACCGCTTTCTTACGGCATTTGTATTTTTTTTTCATAGTAGAAATATTACTTTTCCCTCGCCCGTGGACGTAGGTCAATTTGACCGAATCATGTAAATTTTGGTGTCTTTTATTTTGCTTTGTTATTTGTCTTTATTGGGTTATCACAACCCTTTTATATGGTCAATTTTATCGTCTCATTATTATATGGCTGGTGTCTACCGCTTAACCATTATATGGTCGGTTATATCGCCTATTTTGTTCTAACTTTAGTTTGTTTATTCCTAACCCAGTCCTAACAGGAACTAATAGCTATAGGCTCCCTCATTATCGAGTTGAAAAGGAGCTTCTGCTAATCAGGATTCTAGTCCTAACATCATATAGAAAATTTCAGCATCCAATACCAGAGGAATAATAATCTTTGTTTCAAGTGTGCCAACAAATTTGGAGCAGGACATCAAAGTAAAATGAAGCAGCTGCATCTGACGGCAGAAGACGAAGAGGAGGAAATTGAGTTTACAGATGTCCAAGGGAAGCAAGATGAGGTTACTAGTAATCTTGGGGTTGTGGTAGGCATGTCATTTCATACTTTGTCTTCTGGACTCAAAAGAAAGACCATTACTCTACAACAGGTTATGAGAAGTGTGGTAGTGAACGTATTGGTGGACACTGGAAGTTCTGATAGCTTTATCAGTCATAGCTTAGCAAAAGATTCTGATGACTAAGTTACTAAAAATTTGCTACGTAAGCTAATTGTAGTCGGAGAGTAAGTGGATTCCACATGACAATTTGGGCTTTTATAGGAGTGTTGTGGCACATTAGGTAAATGTTGGAAAAAAAATGTAATATTGGAAGTCTGGGGAGAGGACAGATCCAATCAAAACAAAGCTTATTCACCATTTTGTTCCCCTGAGCTATGGATTTGGAGGTACTCATACTTTACCACCTTAAACCTTAAAAATATGCACCTCACACCACTAGAAATCTAGTGAATATTTGAAATCTTACCTTTGTCAATGTTTGAAATCTTAACTTTGTAAAGAAAATTGAGTGTTATGACAATATTGCTCTTTTGTTGATGAAATTATATATAGTTTACTATTAATGCCCTTTTACTGGTGAAGAAAGTGTTTTTTTTATTTAATCTCTTTTATTCTCCTCTAAGTCTAGATGTAATATATATTAGTCCTTATTAAAAATTTAGCTAAGTAATTCATAGTTGACTAATCTGACAAACAAAATATAACAAAAATATTCTTCTAACAATTTACATAAACTAAAAGAATAAAATATTACGCTGTTAAGTAGTAACAAGCTTAATATTATAGCATGATTTCAAAATTTTGCCAACTTTATTTATTGTTATTACTATATTATTTTTTTATTACTACATTATTTATTATTACTATTAGAGTTAAAGTCCAATAAATTGAAAACAATGTATAAGATAAAAGAACATTAATTCAACATGAATTTGAAAAGACTTTAAGGATATTAAATTGAAAAAGCTTTTTTTTTTGGTTTTATTAATTTGATTTTTTGTATATTAGATACTATAGAGAAGATATAAATTTTTTAGCAACAAAATGGCAATAATGATAAATTATTAATCATTTCAGAAATGAAAGGGCATTAACATCCTTACACTCACTTTTTTTCTTATGACGTTAATATTTATATCTTTGACTAGTTTTCAAGGGCCAAGTATACAATTTTAAGGCTTGCAATAGTAAAGTCAAAAGTGTGCCTACCCCCAAAGCTTCGCAGAGCAGAGTGTGACTGACCCTTAGAACGAACAACGATGGAGCAAATTGAAAAGCATGTACTTGTCAATGGGGCAATTCACAATAAAGCCTTATATTTATGCGAATCCTTACCTCTAGGATATCACCAACCTTGACTATAAAAGCATTAGGAAGTGGAAGAACAGGAACCCAAGCGTCATTTTCCTTGATTTGGAGTAACATGGTGAGGCTAACAGGATCAGAGTGATGGCAGAGGCCTGTGACCAGCTCAGGTTGAGGACATGGAGGATAGTAAGTGAGCCTCATGGATTGCAACCCTTCTTCTAAAAGCATCCCTTCTTTTAAAAGCAATTCAATTTCTTCATGCTTCATTCCTAATGCTTTTGCTATTAGGTTGAGAATCTTCAAGGCAAGACTTTTGAGCTCTATAGAGTACTCTTGAAGACTTTCCCTATGTAGCAGAACGAATAACATTTGAAGGAATTTAAGGGTAACTAGCATAATATTGGTTTAGTATCATAACAAAAGAAAAGTAAATTTTGCGCACAAACTTCATTGTCAGTTTCATTTTTTGCAGTGTTATTGGATTGATTAACATACAAATAAACTATAAGGAGAACTTAGCATACCTAAGTCTAAGTATAAATTTAGATGTATATTATAATGAACTTAAAATCGTAATTGATTTGTTTTATTTTCAAATTGCACAGTGAATCAAGATATTTCAATAAATTTGAGCTCATTGTAACCATTTGTCGCGGTGAATTGGTGATTTTTTATTGTTCAACTTCATCTTTTATAATATCAGTAAGATTTTGACCTAAAATATCTTAGGCCATCGTCCTTCTCTCTTTCTTTTCTTTAGAAAAGATTTTCTAAGTAAATCTCTCCTTCAACTCTTCTATGGGAGAGAGATCAGATTTTTCTAATTTTTTTCTCATATGAGGAGCACTCTCTATAGTTTTTTTTCATTTATGTGAATAAAATATCTCATAAGATTTTCAAATGAGAGTTTCTTCTGATAGGGCATAATTTGTTATTAATTTTATGATTAATTTTCCTCTTTGTCCTTGCCAAATATTGTTTTAATTGTTGAAATATACTTATATTTGGTATTTGGACCAAATTACAGGAAGTGGAGTAGAAAGGTACTAAAAAGGGTGACTTTCTTGAGAAAATGCTGTGCACGTGGGAAGCCTTGAGAATCCTTGCAAATCCGGCTCCAAGATGTGCTAAACCAATGCCTTTCCTTTCGTGACTAGCAGTTTTCTAACATTAGGAAACAAGAAAGAAGGAAACTTCAATAGTTGCCTTATCTCTTTGTTTTCCTTATTCGGTGGAAAAACCAACGAGATGAGGGACTAGTCATTGTTTAGATTACGGAGATTCTCCCATTATTCGTCTTCGTCCCGAGGCAGCAAGACAGGAGATAATTCCTTCTTCGTGCCTTTACTTTTCTTGCGTGAAACATATTAGATTGTTTTAAGAACAAAGTTTGATATTCACAAATTCTACAAATTCACGTGGAAATTCTCTATGAAGTGTGGCTAAGTTCCTCATCTAGTCGAAGGTCAACTTGAAAACTCGATTCCAAACATCTGTAAGATCAAATTATTTTATTTATTTCTTTTATTTATTGGTATTTGTACATTTTCTAGCTTAACTTCTTATGATTGTTTTGTTATTTGAATGTCAACGGCCCGATATTCAAATTAACCTAAAAATCTACTGCTAGATTAATTGATTGAATCCGTAATTGTTCAATTGACTAATATCAGTGGCGACTAGCATGATTGGTTCCATGTTAGGGAAACGCATTATCTAATTTAAACAAACCCTCGTAGCGTGTTTGTTAGTTAGGGTTGGGTTTTTCTAATTTTTAATGCAATCTAGAAATTAAATCCTATGGTCGTACCTAGGGTTATTTTTTTGTTAGAAAAATAGTTAACGGTCGTACCTTGACTATCGAAAAAATATAGAAATGTTGGTTGTTTATCGTGTGTATGATAGCTATAACCAATCTATTAATGAGAAATTGGATTATCTTTGTATCGATGATCAGTTGAATAAATCGTGTCTGAAAAGTTGCACATTTGACTAGAGTCGTATTGGTTATTGATTAATTCTTGTTTATTTCTATTAGTTGTTTCATTAGTTAGTTAACTAGTTATTTTATATTCTCCAAAAATCCCCCATACTTCTGACTCTGGAAGAAACGAATTATCCCCAGTTCCTGTGGATTCGAACCTACTCACCGCTGCATATAAACTTTGTATTTTTCTTATGTAGGTAATTATTATTGCCACAGGCTCGACACCTGTCAATTTGTTTCTTTTTGAGTTCATCTTATTTTTATTTCTAATTTTTTCTCTTATTTCTTTTTTTTTTACTAGTTTATGGCCGCTGACATTTCGTATTTTGGTGATAGACTGGATTTTATTCCTACGAAAGGAAATGAAACTTGTGTTTTTCTGATATGATCAATATTCAGATTCACTAAGCTTTCTTATAGACAAAATGGTTGATGCAACTTGTGGGATTTGTTATGCCACAGATCATTCAACCAGTATGTGCAAGATTACCTAAATGCCTATCTCAATAAGTTTGGAGGTTTTTCACTGCAATCTCGAACGTGGCATGACCTTTATTCAAATGGGTATGATCAAAGATGGTGGGACAACTCCAACTTTAATTATGCACCAGACGCAATCGATTTTCAACATCAATGTCAACAGCAACATCCATCATCGATATCAGAATTGCTCTCATAGACTAACATCGACCTTGAAAAAGATGAGAGTGCAATAATCCGGACAAATAACATGGAACTGCAAGAGTTTCAAGAAAACGGATCTAAAGATGTAGTAGAAAAGGAAATTGAAGTGCAAGAAATAAAACCCCAATATCAACTCGACTAAGTGAATGAATCCTGTGAATAATCTCCAAATGCGGTGACATTTTCTCCATTCCTTAATCAATATTCTCCTGACTCTTATTCTTCAATTTCTATTAGTGAAATTGATTTTATTGTACCAGAAAATTTTGAATTTCATGATAGGAATAAGTTAAGAGTGGCGATGACAAAATATCTTGGACCAATAAATACGTGTGATGGAGGAGTGAGTGGAGAATTCAGATTATTGTTGACTTGTTTGGTGCCATCTACTAGTCCATAGAAGACCATAACTCATGTGTTCAAGGATTACTCTATTTACGAGAGCTATCAATATTATATAGAGAATGAAACATTGAAACGAGCCACAAGATTTTATTCTGCCTGAACAATGTGACGGCGCCCATCTTCCCCTAAGGCGAACCAGAGGGTTCGGCGGGTCGCCTGCCCAACTCTCGCCGGGACTCCTCACTCACTCACTACAGTCCTCAAACAAATTATATATATAATCTCAAAATTACATCAAATTCTCCAATGATTAATATTACAAATGCAGCGGCGAACTGATTCCAATCGTGGAACGTATACTTACATCCATATCAATTTCAATATTTATACAAGACCAACTCGTACATAAAATAGATCCAAACTTAAACTGTACACGATATAAGCCATCCAGTCACGTGAATAAGCACTCCAAGCTTTCCTTCGCCTTGAGCCCTGTGGGGGGGAAATAAAACATTTTGGGGGTGAGCTAGAAGCTCAGCGAGTAACCATTAAAATCAGTAATCAATTCAGTTTCACAGTCGTTCATTTTCAGTGATGTCATGATTTCAAGATCAAATGTACATTTATTGCTCTCGTGAGCCAGCGAAATCATTGTACTTAAACACCCAACGCTCCAAACAAACATTAAACAGTAAACAGTCAGTGGGGAGCCATTTGCTCCAGATGAACAGTACACAGAGGTGGAGACGTTGGTGTTCAGCACACGAATTCCAAGCACTCATTTAAGCCAAAACATGTCATGGGCCACATGCAAGCACTCATGATATGCAATCAAGTAAATAGTGCAATAAACGGTTCATAAGTAACTTTGGAAACAGTTTTAGGGTCACTCACCTCCGTGGCTCAGAAACCATCCATCATATAACCTTTCCTTGCTCAAATCCAAGCCTTAGATCACAAACCCAATGCAAACAAGTCCCTTCAAAAGTTCGGACAGCACTTCCCCTACATTTGCTAACTTTTCCAGCCATCATGGCTTCATTATTACTTCAGCCAGTCCCAAAGTCACACAAATAAGTTCATCTAATATCCATTCAGCAAGCTCCAAGTAGTACAAAGACAAGTCAAGCTAGGGAAAAGTCGGAAATGAAAGTTAAGCTCAAAACCAGAAAAAACAGTTTTGACGTCATTTTGCGGTAATGGTACAAAAAGGCGGTACGATTGTCGGATGAAGGTGCAGATACACCGTTTCGAAGCTAAAACCAGGATACAACAAATGTAGAAGGTCACTCAGTCAGTTCCTAGCACAACTAGGTCAAATATGCCAAAAATACCAAACCAGAACCACAAAACAGGTTCACAAATCCCACTATGCTGTAATTGGTATAACTCGGCTGTACAGGCCAAATGCATTGATTCCAAAAGCATATGGAAGCAAGACATCCAGATACATTTCATCAGAAGACACCAACATCCAAATCCAAAGCAATTCCAGTCAAAATGGCAATTACAAGTGCAGTTTTCGCATTCTGATCAACCCAGAACAGCAACAGTAAAATCGACATATCTCACTCTACACTAGTCCAAATGACCTGAAATTTTTACAGACACTTCAAACACATCAATACCGTACAACTTTCATGTTTTAAGCCAAGGCCAATTCGGCCTCTAACATGGTGCAATAAATTCGGGCAGAATGTAGGCTTCATGAACCCTAACTTTCCAAAATTTATTCCAAATCCAAATTGGTTGCAAATATCAATCATTTCCATCCACTAGAGTCATAACCCCTCATTATCAATCATCATAAACAACCACAACACCATAATTCCAATTAAACCAGAAAAATCATCAATAAAATCAAAACTTCACCAAATCACTTCAAACCAAGATAAAACCAGAAATTTCAGCACTTTAATCACTACTAATCATATCTTAAGCATCAATAGGTGTAGGTGGAAGTTTAAGCTTCACTTACCAAGTAACCAAGAGAGGGGAAGATGTTGGACACCTTAGCTCTTCCAAAAAACTTCACTAAAGCACTCACTATCACTAAAGGAAAGATTGTATGGAGTAAAAACTAATTCAAACCCTTGGTTTGGTTGATTTGAGCCACTTGGAAGCTTGAAAATTGAAGAGGCTTTCTTCCTTCTTGAGCTAAGAGGGCCGGCCAACAAGAGGTGAAAAATGGTGATTTTTGGGCAATTTTGAAGATATTTACTCAAATGGGTCAAAAGTCAAAAAGGTGAATAGTAACTCTTAAGTCCAAACCAATGATATTGTGACACTTGTCACTATCATAAATGCAATCTTATCTTTTCTTTTACCTCTCACATCAATCATTTCACCCACTCTACTTATCTCTTAACACCCGATAAATTTTACACAGTATCCGAAACTTAACCTAATAGGCCGAATTTTTCCGAACTTTTCGC